ACATAACAGTCTCGTGAAGCGAGTGAGTGAGTGAGTGAGTGAGTGAGTGAGTGAGTGAGTGGGTGAGTGAGTGAGTGAGTGACGATTTTACCCGATTTTGACCCGATGTTTCCCGGTACTACTTATAGTTTGTTTCGAAGTGCTACAGAAGACAATAAACATCTCACAATAGTTTCAGGATGGCGCGTCCATCATGAAAACTTAGAGAGAAGATGTTTTCTTTGAAGAGAGAGCATTTTACCGTTTGAATCAGCGAGTTGTGCCCAGTAGATCCGAACTCGACATTCGGTGATATAATGCAGACAGAAAACAATGGGTTTGGAAGGACGACCAGTAATTATAGTCTGATAGAACACGCCCTTTCAAACAATAACAGTGCGCTTTATATCCGAAGTTTATTGTAATGGTTTTTTAGAAGTGGCAAGTTTTAGGTGCTCAGTAGGTCTTGTCTGGCTTGCTGGCTGGCTTCTGTTTTTTCTCTTGCTCGGAAGGCCAATACATACGTACATAAACTTTATTTAGTTGCGAATTTGCAGAGTTAGCACCCAAATGCTATCATCTTCGAGCTTACTACATTCATAACTAATTCTAATAACGAGATAATTCTATATTACAAGCAAAATAACTAACCACCTAAACAACTAATTTGCTTAACTAACTTATTTTTCGAGGCATTTGCCGGCTAAAAGGCTCGGTCAGTGACGTGTTTTGCAGACTTTGCAAGTTTTAAGTTATCCAGTTAAGTGGGTTTTTGTCTTGCTTTTTGTCTTTTGTGGCCATCTATCCATCCATCGGTTGGCCACGGATCTTTTTTCCGAGGCAGTTGCTGACAATGAGGCTCCATCAATCGGGTGTTTGACAGTTGCAAGTTTTAGTTCTGCGATGACGAAGGTTTTGTCTTGTTCACTAGGCTCTTAGAATCGGGTTTTTGACAGGTGGAAGTTCTAGGTTCTAAAATTATGTCGGTTTTTTCTTGTTTACAAGGCTCTATCAGTCCTGTGTTTTGCACGATTATGCAATGAGGTGGGTTTTGTCTTGTTCACTAAGCCCTCTGAGTTGGGTGTTTGGCAATTACAAGTTTTAGGTTCTGTAATTGACGTAGATTTTGTCTCGCTTGATGTCTTCTGTTCTCTTGCTCGGTTGGCCACGCATGTTTTCGAGGAAGTTGCTGACATTGAATCGGGTGTTTGACAGTTGAAAGTTGTAGGTTCTATAATCATGTAGTAGGAGGGTTTTCGGGATGTGTTTTAAGGCCATCCTTGCTGGAGAGGCCAATTATTTTTTCTGAGGCAGTTTCTGGTCCAAAGGCTCCGTCGGTCGGGTGTTTTGCGATTGCAAGTTTTAAGTTCTGCAATTACGTAGGTTTTATTTTGCTTGATGCCTTTTTCGGCCACCCTTGCTGGAGATGCCAATGATTTTTTCGAGGCAGTTGCTGGCCACATGGCACCGTCAGCCAGGTGTTTTGCAGTTGCAAGCTGTAGGTTCTTCAAATATGTATGTTTTGGTTTGCTTGTTATCTGGTGTGATGATTCTTTTACGGTTTGCCACGCTTTTTACGAGGCAGTTTCCCTCCATAGAGCTCCGTCTGTAGATAAAAACTACACGTTTAATGCCACGAAGAGAATGCACATATATTTAATTTGCCAGCTGGACGTCTATGTTTAGATGTAAAGATTGGCAAATACGTGTGGTTGATTCGACTGAAAATAAATAATCAATATAAATATCTAGGTACAAATATAACGGCAACAAGAACAACGACAAAAAAACTAAGAGAAATAGAAACGAACGTACAATTTGTGGCGAAACCACACTGAGTTGGTTAAAGTTATCCATAACTTCACGCAAAAACCTCAACTTAGTTGAATAAAAACAGAACATTACAAAAGTACTACAGTAGAAAGAAAAACAATATAAAATTATTTCGCAGTTGCATGACACAAATAGAAATGCAAATTCTTGTCATTACGCTTTCCGTGGGTTTTTTCGGTAACTACAGTCATGGATTGCTGCCGTCGTTTTTCGAATAGTTACCAGCTCTCTTTTGTCCATCGATACTTTACTCAAATCTTCAACTGAATTT